TATCAAGCTTTTCTTTTCTGGATCTCCCAAAATCCAAATTACACAAAGGTCGGTGATTTATTATGCTCGTCATGGAGAATTACGAACAATTCACCAACACAAAGTAACAAATTTTCTTGACCAATTTCCTGGATCCCTTTTTTCTGCACATTTTCGCATTCTATCTCGCAAGCTGTGCGTCATTCTCGATTTATACGCTGAAATTTTAAGAAAGTTTAAACAGACATTTTCAAAAGCAAAAATCCTCTCGCTGTCCAACCTAAAAAAAAAAAAAAAGGAAAAAAAAAGAGACACACACGGTCCTTCATCAGCCCGTTAATTGAGACTCGTTGCCGTCAAAGACAGTTTCCCGCTGCCGCCACACGGGGTGACTCTGATGACACACGTACCGAAAAAGCTAATCATAATTACCCCCACCTCGGGGACAATATATAATACGGAAACAACACACACACACACACAAACAGATGCCCAAACAAACACACTCAAACTCACCAGCGTTTTTCTTCCCACGCGCGCGCAAATAAGGAATATACGACAACACACACACACACATGCAGTCCCCGAAAAGTCCGCTAATGGACCTCCGCGATGAATTAATCACTTGGCGGGTCTGGGAGACCGGAGGGGAGAGAGACAAAAAAAAAGAAAGAAAAAAGAATATGATGTTTAGATATTAAATAGAAATAAAGGAAAAATAAAATTGCGTCTTTCGGATCGTTACGGGGATTTCATAACTCGGGCTAATGTCCAATTTCCTGACGGAAAGTTTTATTTTATTTTTTCCCCTGCGACGACGACGACTGGGGCGACAAACACTTGATGAAACCGCGTCACGCACTTTTGGCGAAAAAAATAATTCGATGATCCCCAATCGCCTGCCATTCGTCACCTGCTTGTTGCCTTCTTTTTTTTTTTTTGAGTAAATGCAACGAGGAATAGAGGATTTTTTTCTTCATCGAATAAAAATCACAAAAGAAATCTCATTGCCTTCAGTATATTCGCCGCGGGAGTTTAAGAAAATTGCACGAGAAAATCGGTGAGGGATTTTGAGAAAGAAAAAAAACTCATACGAAGAAAAATTGCAGGGAAACAGTTTATTACTATAGTACAACAAACCCAAGTTTATTTTTTCGGAAAATTGTAAAATTATACCTATTGCCTCAAACTGCTTGGATTGAATAACATCTCTTCCGTAACTGAAACGTATGCCCACTTGGCTATCCTACTGTTTTTTTTGTGTGTGTCAAATTCATTGTCATTTTGGATTGCTATTTCACGCAAGAAAATACAGTGAACCACTTGTGGGGTCTTGCTGGGGCTACTCCATAGCCCCAATCAGAGCATCTTTGCAGAGAATAGAAATCATCACAACAAGCACAGACAAGAACAGCAGAAATCCTTTCCACCAGCCCGGTTGACCATGAGAATGGCAAACCGGGCCCCTAAACAAGTTTTGCATAATCCTTGCCATTTCCGGCATACTCTTTGGCTAAAGCCAGCAATATGCCCAAAGACTGACACTTGCCAACTTTGCCTGCAACTGAAAGGACCTCTCTGAGGACTCTTGCTAGTGTGCAAATTGTTATTACCGTATTTACTCCAGTACCATGCGCACCTTTTTTCTCAAATTTCAGAAGAAAAAAAGGGGTGCGCGTCATAAGCGGGTACACATTTTTCAAGAAGTTTTAGGAAGTTAGGTGTGAATTATACTTGATTATTATGGAGAAATTAGGAACAAATGTACCAAGAAAATTTTTTTTCTACTGAAAAAGTTGAAAACTGATAAGATTTTTCTTGAATCCATGTCTAAAATCAAATTTTTTGTTCCCATTTTCTAAATTTTGTGGTTTTAGATTCAATAAAAATTGGGGTGCGCGTCTTACTCAGGGATACAATTTTAGCAAAATTTCCAGCTCAAAAACCCCTGTGCACGCCTTACTCAAGGGCACATGGTACTCAAGTAAATACAGTACTTGTGTGATGGATTGTCTGTGTGATAAGACTTGTATATTAGGATCATGTCTGATTGCTTGCTGTGAATTTGTTACTTGAGATTATTAAACTAAGGTTTAAAGGGACTCCTATAAGGAGGATCCGGCCTCCTAAAGACTGAGGGCAGTGTTCAAATTTATTCCACCCTTTTGTCAATAATCCAGCCCAACACCACCACTGAACATTCTTTTTTTTTTAGACCGAAAAAAGGATGGATTTCACAAATTCTTTGATGATGAAGAATTTGCACAAATCTACCACAGCAAGCATGTAAGTTTCCCCTACAGGCAGCTCATATGCACACTTGGCAACCCCATTACTTCAAGTGATGCAATAATTCCCGGAAATTTATGCCACCCTTTTGTCAATAATCTGGCCCAACACCACAGTACATTCTTTTTTTTCAGACCAAAAAAGGAAGGATTGCACAAATCCTTTGATGATGAAGAATTTGCACAAATCTACCAAGCATGTATAAGTTTCCCCTTTGGCAGCTTATAAGCACACTTGGCAACCCCATAAATTTAAGTGATGCAATAAGTCCCGGAAATGCGGGTCATTTTCCAAAAAGAGAGACTTTTAGAGAGGTTTGTGTGTGTGTGTGTGTGTGTGTGTGTGTGAAGATCCGCGCAAAATTCGCCGGAGTCCTAAATAAAAAATTACCCCTCCCACACACACACACACACAGGGCACAAACAGGGGTGGTGATAATAACGGGGTCTGGCGACTCGCCGACTTGGATGACAAACGACCCCGACCTGGCAATTTGTCGTCTGGTATCAATTCCGCCCTTAACGACTCCATCCGCGTCGCTAACGACGGCTTCCGTGCCCGCCTAAAATGGCAGCCGCGAGGTGAATTAACCAGGGCCGAAAAATAAATACTATAAAGAAAGATGTAAAGAGAGGAAAGTATGGGGGGGGGGGGGAGAAGTCGTCGTATGGTAAATTGAATAATTCAGCCGAGAAAGTTGCGAGCTCTGATGTTCGCTCGCTCGCCCCCGAGTCGCATTCAATCAATCATTCATTCATTCATTTTTTTTTCAAACTCGGCGTAGACAATTTTTCTGCTATAATTCGTTTGCGCAAAAATTTCCACTTCAGGAAACGGATTCCCGCAAAGACAAATATTTCATGAATCATTTACTCCATGGCAATCCAATTTTAATTCAGATGACGCAGATATATAATATTGTTTTTTAAAACACGATCAGGTTTCTCCCACTTCTTCTGAGTCAAATGAACGCGGTTTGTTCCAGTTGATGCAAAAATTAGCTCAGAAGATGAAAAATAACGCAATTGACACACCTTTTGCAGTGTGTGTAGCCGATCGACAAAAAAAAAGCATTTCTCTACAGGGTTTCGACAGAAAATGTTTTGGTCTCTCCGTGAAGAGAACCCCAGAAATAATCAGTTGCATAATCATCACTGGGTTCTCATTTGTGTGCAAGCAGGCAAAATTTTTTTTATAATTCATGTTCTTATTCAGTAGCTTAAAACTTGGGTACAAAATATAGGAACAAAAAATATAGCACAGTAAACAAATTTAAATATATGCGTACGTAATTTAGAGGAAGGGTGCGTGTCATTATCAGGTGTGATTTTTCCTGACGATGATTCCAACGTTTATTCCATGTCATAAAGTCAAATCACATTAATTATATGAAGTTTAAAAAAGAAACATTTGAATTTTGAAATCATATTCCAAATTTGCTAATCGCGAATCGTTCACCAGAAAAAAAAGCATTCAAAATTCAATCAATAAAAAAGCCGAGGAGCACGTAATGAAAAAAACAGGTGCCTTGTATTTCGGAGATCCAGAGAAAGAAACAAATAAGCATGAATGAAGCGGGGGGAAAAGAAGAAAATAAAAATCAATGCCGCTAAGCAATTCAGAGCATTTAAAAAAAAGAGAGAGAAGAATCAAGCAACATGGAAAATGAAAGGACAAGTTTATATTTTATGCAGGGGAACACAATTGGGCGAATAAATGGCGTCACTGCCAGAAAATCCGAGCAGGGTTGCCACCGGAAGCGCTGCGTGCTGCTGAATTTTGCCTCAGTGTCCGGTTTCTCTTTTTCTTTTTTTCTTGCAAAAAAATTCTCTCCCTTTCTTGAAGAGAATCCTCGCGGTTGTTCACAGGAACACCCCTGTGGATAATTGAAAATGAATCCATTCAACGACTCTCTCTCTCCCTCTCTCTCAAACGACTCAATGCAGAAATCAAATGCGATGTTCTTTTTTTTTAGAAATTCAAACTCTGTAAAATTTTTTATCGCAGTGAAAGGAAACGCAGGTAATGATCCACTTCTCAATTTGTAAGGGGTCATTATATTAAATGACAGTTCAAACTCTCTAAGTCGAATTTCTAGGGACCATGAAAAAAATTCAACTTAGGGAGGTTTTGACTTAGGGAGGTTTTCATTTTTGAGGTTTCCTGTTGAGAAAACAAACACTTTTGTTGTGAGAAGTGAAAAAAATGTGGGAAATCATAAATTAAGATATTCTGGGGTACACCTTGCTGAACTTGGAGGCAGGGGTTCATTTGCTATATTGTACAGTATTTGTCTTTTAATTCCTTTCAAGATGCATCAAATTATTTGTTTTAATCATTTTATCTTTCATATTTCAAGAAAATAATGACCAGAAGGCCTCAGAAAATTTTATTTACAGAGGTTTTACAAAAAAATAGTTTGAGTTAGCGAGGTTTTTAATGTATTGATACTAAAGGAATTCAGACAGGGATGAAAATTTGACTCAGGGAGGTTTGACTTATCAACGTTCACCTGTAATATTCATGGAGGCATGAAAAGATCCTAGAATTAGAGACAAGAACAATTTATGCTCCTACTTTTTGAACAAATGTGGATAAAATGCAGTAGACAAGGACCTTCTTCACATTTGTAAGAGCATTATGTAATTTTTCCATATATCGCTCAAATTCTTGAGTAAACTGGTCATAATGAATATTTTTAATATTGGTCAACAAAACCAAAATGGGGTTTACTTGCCTTGGTGCAAAGCAGCAAGAGGCCCCAGGTCAGCGCCCAATTTGGGCACATGATGAGGACCCAGATGGGGTAGGTGGTGGTTATGGTGCTGCTGCTGCTGCTGTTGCTGCTGGTGTTGGTGGTGAGGGTGGGGATGGGGGTGGTGGTGTTGGTTGTGGTGGTGCTGTTGCTGCAGCGCCTTTTCAAATTGCTGGTGGTGACTCCGCACAGCAAACCGGTTCACGTGCACCGGAATGGGCACCACGATTTTGGAGCCGGTGCCACCGGGGCTGGAGCCATGGTGCCCGCGACCCCCGGAGGGGATCCCGGCTTTCACCCGCTTCCACTTGGCCCTCCGGTTCTGGAACCAGATCTTCACTTGCACCTGGGTTATTCATCGTTTCGTTGATGGATTTATCCATTCATTTATTTATTTTTTTTTTCGGTTGGTTGGTTGGTTGGTTGGTTCCCGGGGTTCACATGGAAGAGAAAGAGAGACACATGGAGAAATTAATGCCGTTGATTACTCGTATTTTCAAGTGATCTTGGAATATCTCTGGTTTTCTCGACATTTTTCTCGAAATACAGGCTTAATTTGCGTCTAAATCCAATCTTCGAAGCAGTTTTATTTTGCAATATTACAATTTCTATTTGCTCAAAATTGGGGAGCGCATCTTAGTCAGGGATCCATTTTTCTCCGAATTGAATGCAAAAAAAAAAGTGAAGAGCGTTATCGTCTCATACATGTGCATGTGGTACCTTAAGTAAGTTTGGTACAATGTTTGAAAATTTCAAAAATAATTTTTTCGCATTCCCATTTAATTTATGTTGTTGATTATTTTCAAATGATCGTGGAATATCTCTGGGTTTCTCGACATTTACCGATATGGTTAATTTTAAAGCACAATTAAAGCTGTAAACGTGTTGACATTTTTGTGCTGAGCACACACTCAAAAAAGAATCAACACTAAGTCGCGAGATGGAATCATGGAATTAATTGCTGAATTTATTCAAAAACCAGGAAGACTTATTTTTCAAGCCAAGAAAATTTGAGTCCTGACGTTTTTTCTTCACTTACAATAATATTTGCAGCATAAACACATTAGTTTGTGCATCACCAGAGCACCTTCTCTTCTTATGTCTAGCATTTCATACTAATAGAAACAAGCTCAAGAAAGATTTACAAGTACTGGAATTCAATGAAGAGACCCTTTCTAAAATCTTAAAGGATCAAGGTAAACTAGTGGCTTTATATGATTTCTCATCAAAGATTCTCTCTTATTTGTTTATTCAACTAAACCTCATACAGAAACAATACTGAAGACCCTGTGCTTTAAATTAATTTTTACATATATTTTGCTACCAATGTCAGGGAATGAATGGGTGTACGCATACATGTCAGATGTCCAGTTGTATTTCATGTTGTATTGTATTTTCTTTTATTTTTGTTGTCAATTTTTGATTTCCTGCTCTGAAGTGATTGAATGTCATTGAGTGGATTTGGGTTGGTTTTGAAGGGGGTTTGGTGGTAGAAATCTTGATTAAACCTTGTGAACGCCGTAAAGCAGAAAATAAAGTGTTCTGTTCATTCATTCATTCAATAATATTTTTTTTACAAGAATTGAGTAAGATTGCGAGAGGTCCTGAGAATAATGTCTATCTCACCTCACTCAGCTTGAGGTTGTGAGCAATCTGGGACCGTTCAGTCAAGCTCAGATACTTTTTCGAATGAAACTCCTTCTCCAGCTCGAGCAACTGTTCGGACGTGAAGGCGGTGCGGCGCCGTCGAGCCTTGCCGGTCGTCGTGCTCACGTCACCAGCCTTCGCCGCCACTCGGGCATCCGTGTCGCCCGTCACCGACGACGACTCGTCCGCCCTGTCGTCATCATCGTCGTCGATGTCGTCAATCACGTCGTCGTCGTCGTCAATGGCTCCACCAGTGGCGGCGGCGGCGGCGGTTGTGGCGGCGGAGGCGACCACAGTAGTGGCACTGGTGTTGTCCACACCGCCGACATCCACGTCGATGTCGGTCTTGGACGACGGTTCTGAGTCGGAGAGGTCGTCGTCGTCGTCGAGGTCGCTGTGCGCATGTTTGCGGTGTCGCTTGTCGACAACTTTTTTCAAAGCGAAAATTTCAATTTCACCAAAATGAAGGTCATATTTTCATCCACTCAATCATACAACAACAACAACAACTGGCTATGAACAGCAGTATGTCATAGCCAGTAAAGGTTGTGGTAGAATAATTAGATCACCTATTATATAATGTATGTGTCAAATTATCTAGAATGCTCTGGAATAATTGAATTGGGATACTGTTGGGTGGCAGTTCATGTTCATTGAATATTTGAACCAATAATTTATCCCTTTCTGCCAATCAGGTGCAGCAATGCAGATTCCTAGAATAGAGATGCAGATTCCTAGAACTCCTGGCACTTCAGTAAAAAATTCATTCAACTCTCAAAGGTGTCTAAGTGGTGTAACTCCTGTAGCATAATTACATTAGTTTGTGCATCACCAGAGCACCTTCTCTTCTTATGTCCAGCATTTCATATGGATAGAAATCAGCTTAAGAAATAATAATACCTATCTAATATTCATTTAATAAAACTTATTGTGAATTCCAAGAACAGAAAAGTGGCGCTGAACCCCTTGAAAATTGGAGGGTTTGTTTTCATTTTCTGGCAGAGTTGGGATTTTTGGGGGGCAGCAAATTTCAGTTTGACCCAAGGTCACTGAAATGCTCCCAGTTCCAGAAGGCCTATGTTGGGAAAAATCTGGGAGGCAAATTTTATATTGTTCCCAGGATTCTCCCAAACACATCCTTTGCCAGGAATGCATAAAAAATGCCATCAAGTGAGGATTTATTTTTTTATTTTTGAGGCAACAGTTTTTCCATGCTGGCACTTAAGTAAAAAATTCATCCAACTCTCAAAAGTGTCCAAGTGGTGTAACTCCTGCAGCATAAATACATTTGTTTGTGCATCGCCCGAGCACCTTCTCTTCTTATGTCCAGCATTTCATATGGATGGAAATCAGCTTAAGAAAGATTTAAAAGTACTGAAATTCAATGAAGAGACACTTTCTGAAATCTTAAAGGATCAAGATAAGTTATTGGCCTTATATGATTTCTCATCAAAGATTCTCTCAACTATATCTCATACAGAAGCAAGCTGAAGACCTTGTGCTTTAGATAAACTTATACCACTAATTTGTTTTCAATGTCAAGAAATGGGTGGTTGCATGCAAACATGTCAGATGTCCAGCTTTATTTTTTGGAGTGTGTTCTTTTTTATTTTTGTCATCAATTTGTGCTTTGTTTCCTGCTTTGAAGTGATTGTATGTCTTTGAGGGGATTTGGGTTGGATGTGGGAGTCTTGGTTGTGCCTTGTGAATGCTGAAAAGTGGTAAATAAAGTGTTCTGTTCATTCATTGAAGGGAGAGAGAGTGAAAACCATAGAAGGTCACTCTTCCAACATTTTTGATATTCCTCTTCCTGAGTCAGTCTGCTGCCAGTTATCATTTGAATTGTTTCTGGTATTTCTACTGTGTGTGTTCTGTAAATTAATTATGGTGAAAGAGTGAAATACATTTATTCATTTATCTTTTTGGAATTTTGGGATTTTCTAATGAAATCCCCAGCTGAACCCCACACCTGAATGATGTGTTTCATTTTTGGAATTGATCCTTTTTCTTGCCTCCTTTTGTAATCCTCAATTATTCAGGTGGTACCTTGCAATTTGACTATCGTGCAATTCAATTGTCAAATTTGCTGGGAAATTAACTCTGCTGCAAAATTTGACCTGTGGGGAGACTTGAAACATCAAATTCCACATAGAAAACATGTCATTTGACATTGTCTTGCAATTTGACTGCTTTGCAATTCAACCCTAGTCCACCATCCAATTGAACATCAAGAATGAGCAAGGTGCCACCTGTATTTACTTGAGCACCATGCGCACTATTTTTTTAAGGAAATCCCCAGCTGAACCCCACACCTGAATGATGTGTTTCATTTTTGGAATTGATCCTTTTTCTTGCCTCCTTTTGCAATCCTCAATTACACAGGTGGTACCTTGCAATTTGACCATCCTGCAATTCAATTGTCAAATTTGCTGGGAAATTAACTCTGCCGCAAAATTTGACCTGAGGAGAGACTTGAAACGTCAAATGCCACATAGAAAACATGTCATCTGACATTGTCTTGCAAATTTGACTGCTTTGCAATTCAACCCTAGTCCAGCAACCAATTAGGGTTTTATTGCCAGGTGCCACCTGTATTTACTTGAGCACCATGTGGGCCATTAAAAAAATTGTCAGTCAAATTTTGTGGTGATTGTTACATTAAATGTATTGTACAGAGCGTTTTGCAGAATTTGTAAAATGTGGATGTGAATCACATCTGAATAAAAAAATACTAACATATTTACTCAAGTACCAGTTGTACCACTCAACTGCACAAAAGACAGGCACCTTCAATTTCAAGCTGCAAAATTTGGCAAAAGCTTATCTCAGCATAAGATTTGCATGCCTTTTTTGCAGTGAAAAATATTCAGTATTAAAAAAAACAACAGCTGAAATTATAATTTCATGCTCAAATGAAAGGAGAATCCAATTCATGTTATTTGAGGATACATTTCAAAAATTGGTAAANAGCAACTGTTCGGACGTGAAGGCGGTGCGGCGCCGTCGAGCCTTGCCGGTCGTCGTGCTCACGTCACCAGCCTTCGCCGCCACTCGGGCATCCGTGTCGCCCGTCACCGACGACGACTCGTCCGCCCTGTCGTCATCATCGTCGTCGATGTCGTCAATCACGTCGTCGTCGTCGTCAATGGCTCCACCAGTGGCGGCGGCGGCGGCGGTTGTGGCGGCGGAGGCGACCACAGTAGTGGCACTGGTGTTGTCCACACCGCCGACATCCACGTCGATGTCGGTCTTGGACGACGGTTCTGAGTCGGAGAGGTCGTCGTCGTCGTCGAGGTCGCTGTGCGCATGTTTGCGGTGTCGCTTGTCGACAACTTTTTTCAAAGCGAAAATTTCAATTTCACCAAAATGAAGGTCATATTTTCATCCACTCAATCATACAACAACAACAACAACTGGCTATGAACAGCAGTATGTCATAGCCAGTAAAGGTTGTGGTAGAATAATTAGATCACCTATTATATAATGTATGTGTCAAATTATCTAGAATGCTCTGGAATAATTGAATTGGGATACTGTTGGGTGGCAGTTCATGTTCATTGAATATTTGAACCAATAATTTATCCCTTTCTGCCAATCAGGTGCAGCAATGCAGATTCCTAGAATAGAGATGCAGATTCCTAGAACTCCTGGCACTTCAGTAAAAAATTCATTCAACTCTCAAAGGTGTCTAAGTGGTGTAACTCCTGTAGCATAATTACATTAGTTTGTGCATCACCAGAGCACCTTCTCTTCTTATGTCCAGCATTTCATATGGATAGAAATCAGCTTAAGAAAGATTTAAAAGTACTGAAATTCAATGAAGAGACACTTTCTGAAATCTTAAAGGATCAAGATAAGTTATTGGCCTTATATGATTTCTCATCAAAGATTCTCTCAACTATATCTCATACAGAAGCAAGCTGAAGACCTTGTGCTTTAGATAAACTTATACCACTAATTTGTTTTCAATGTCAAGAAATGGGTGGTTGCATGCAAACATGTCAGATGTCCAGCTTTATTTTTTGGAGTGTGTTCTTTTTTATTTTTGTCATCAATTTGTGCTTTGTTTCCTGCTTTGAAGTGATTGTATGTCTTTGAGGGGATTTGGGTTGGATGTGGGAGTCTTGGTTGTGCCTTGTGAATGCTGAAAAGTGGTAAATAAAGTGTTCTGTTCATTCATTGAAGGGAGAGAGAGTGAAAACCATAGAAGGTCACTCTTCCAACATTTTTGATATTCCTCTTCCTGAGTCAGTCTGCTGCCAGTTATCATTTGAATTGTTTCTGATATTTTCACTGTGCGTGTTCTGTAAATTAATTATGGTGAAAGAGTGAAATACATTTATTCATTTATCTTCTTGGAATTTTGGGATTTTCTAATGAAATCCCCAGCTGAACCCCACACCTGAATGATGTGTTTCATTTTTGGAATTGATCCTTTTTCTTGCCTCCTTTTGTAATCCTCAATTATCCAGGTGGTACCTTGCAATTTGACTATTGTGCAATTCAATTGTCAAATTTGCTGAGAAATCAACTCTGCTGCAAAATTTGACCTGTGGGGAGACTTGAAACATCAAATGCCGCATAGAAAACATGTCATTTGACATTGTCTTGCCATTAGACTGCTTTGCAATTCACCCCTAGTCCACCAACCAATTGAACATCTACAATGAGCAAGGTGCCACCTGGATTTACTTGAGCACCATGTGCACTATTTTTGTAAGGAAATCCCCAGCTGAACCCCACACCTGAATGATGTGTTTCATTTTTGGAATTGATCCTTTTTCTTGCCTCCTTTTGTAATCCTCAATTACACAGGTGGTACCTTGCAATTTGACCATCCTGCAATTCAATTGCAAATTTGCTGGGAAATCCACTCTACCGCAAAATTTGACCTGTGGGGAGACTTGAAATGTCAAATGCCACATAGAAAGCATGTCATTTGACATTGTCTTGCTTAAACTGACGAAACGTTAAGTTGGGATCAGGTCGTTGGTTAATCCCAAAATAACGGTCCACGGTGGACATAAATGAACTCGTGGTACACCCGGTAATTTTTTTAACAGTCAGTTTAAAACACCACTTTGTTACATTAAATGTATTGTACAGAGCGTTTTGCAGAATTTGTAAAATGTGGATGTGAATCACATCTGAATAAAAAAATACTAACATATTTACTCAAGTACCAGTTGTACCACTCAACTGCACAAAAGACAGGCACCTTCAATTTCAAGCTGCAAAATTTGGCAAAAGCTTATCTCAGCATAAGATTTGCATGCCTTTTTTGCAGTGAAAAATATTCAGTATTAAAAAAAACATGTCGACTTTAATATTAAAGTACGAGTTTACTTTCCTCTTAGGTTAAGTACAATAAACTCCTATGTAAAGTTTTTAACCATTTTTTACAGACGTAAAGTTAAGTCATACTGTACGTGTAGTAAAAACGTCCCAATTGGGTTGGGGGGGGGGGTGGAAGGGGTAGACAAATAAAACATTTACAGTATTTCAAAAGCAACAAGAGTGAACATTTTGAAAGTAAACAAAAAATGCAATTGCTTTCGGTTCATCATGATTGTTCCGCACTTATTTTTTCGTCACAGTACGTCTGCAGTAATTGCGGTCATTAGATTGTGGCCTAGTGTCACACATGGCCTTAATACTCAGATAAGAAGGATACTCTGGTATGAATAGGATGATGATGATGCATAAAATAATAACTATTTTATTTCGGAAATCTCCGCATGAGATGGGGTGCGAACGTTTTTTAATTTACACGATTTTTTAAATTGAAAAAATAATCTCTGTTCTAAAGGCTGAATTTATGCTGCACATGTTCCATAAAAAGCTAAAATCAAAACTCAGGTGCAACCTATACTGAAACTATTCATGCATAAGTTACCAAAGAATGTAGATTCAAAGAATGTGACCTATATTCGAGATGGTGCTTCAAAAACGGGTGACTTCGATTTTATTTTCAGTTTAAAAAATTTTCCTCGACGTCGGGTCACATAGAGAAATATTCATCAATTTTCAATTGTCGAAGAGAAAAAAGGTACAGTAATATAAGCTAAAAGTATTTCGGGCGAACTAATAAAGAAGATCATGCAAAAAGGAAACATTTTCGCGGTTTTCGAAAAGAAATAATTATCTTGAATCGCACTGAATGTCAGCAAATTGCCAAGCGCAGAACTTTTAAGGCAAATTTTCAATACGCTGTAAAAATTGACAGGATTATCCCTCATTTATCTTGAGCTATTCTAAACATTTATCCGCACCCTTCATATGAAGAAACCATCCCTTTCCAGTCAATATTTTCTGCTTCAAATAAAATGCCAACGCATTGAGAATATTTTTCAAAATGAATCGCAGAAAACTATTCTACTGTATGTGTGAATTAAATGCTGATTCACCTCAAGCACCTCAAAAATCAGCTGAAAAAAAAATAGATAATCTACCCGAGAATCGAGTAAAAAATGAGCCATGCACAAATTTTCTCCAAGAACAAAAAATTTAATCTGAATGATGACCAATACACTTGAAAACTGCAACACAGTCAAGATTTCCGCTCAACCATTTCTTATCTCGGTAAACTACGCAACTTTCAGAAAATTCTGATAAACCCTCGAACACATTATTAGTTCCCGAAATTGATTCGATTTGCATGCTATGGGCAAACAAATCGATCATTATTGGAATTGCTCGTGTCTGATTCACGACATCTTTCCCAACACACTACATTCGTCATCAACGGCACAGCAGGAAAATTGCGGCCATTTACGGCGGGCTACCAACAATGACAGGAGGTGAATTAACATGATAAGTTGCTAATTGCAGCCGACACCCTGATAAGGGCGCCCCCATGAACAAGTGTGTGTGCTCAGCTTTTGTCGCAACCGCTGTTTCACAGGGTTCAGCAAAATAAATAAATAAAATAATTGACGCGAAATGTTCAACGAGAACATCAACAAAACGCAAATACGGTACGTCGGTCTCCAAAAAATATGAGATAAATTGTTTTAAAAAAAAAAGACATGATTTACTGTCGGCGAACACATTTAGGCTTCATCAAGAAACATTTAATCATCATCAGACGCAATCAGTGTGAACTTTCGTCTGGTTTTGTGATTGATGATCCGTCTCACATAGTCGTGCGTATCGCAGTAATTTAAGTTGACGTCATATGAACAACTGATTGTTTACATGCACTTCCTGTCATATATTTTCGGGTATTTTTAGTTTCGAAGTGTTTTTTTTTTATTTGTAAAATTAGCACCGTGAACCTGATTGTATACCGCAATTCTAAGGAATTTATATTCTTTGATCGGTATGAGAAAAATGTATGATAATTTTTTCTGTTCGAATTTTATATTGCAAACATGTTAATTGAAAACTGAGTTAAGCCTGTTACAAAAGAATAATTTTTTACACGAGTTTACAGCTGAAGAATGAATTTGGGCATCTTGTGCTGAGGAAAAAGGTACAGGTGTTACCTCACAATTTGACCAACCCGCAATTCAAAAGTCAAATTTTCAGGGAAGTTGACTTGCAATCCAACCTCTGCCCCAGAATTTGACCTGCTTTGATCACTTCTTTCACATTTTTGGGTTGATATTCCTCCATTTAACCGAGTGTCTTGCAATTTGACCACTATGCAATTTGACCTTAGTCTGGCAATGGATTAGAGTTGAATTGCAAGGTACCACCTGCACTCAAGTAACTACAGTAACAGCCATCATGTACCGTATTTACTCAAGTACCACATGCACCTTTTTTCTCAAATTTCAGAAGAAAAAAGGGGTGAGCGTCATAAGTGGGTACAAAATTTTCAAGAAGTCTTTGGAAGTTATGTGTGCATTATACTTAATTATAAGGGAGACATTTTGAACAAATGTAACAAGAAAACTTTTTTTTACTGAAAAAGTTGAAAATTGATCCAATTTTTGTTCAATTCATGTCTAAATTCAAATTTATGAATTTATTTTCAAAATTTTGTGGTTCTAGATTCACTAAAAATTGGGCTGCGTGTCTTACTTGGGTATAAGATTTTAGCCAAATTTCCAACTGCAAAACCCCTGTGCGTGCCTTACTCAAGGGCACATGGTACTTGAGTAAATATGGTACTGTATATGCATCTTGTGGATCATAATGCTAAACATTCTTTAGCCCAAATTATTCTGAGGCTTATTCCTGCTCCCTCTTCAATCCACTCTTATTTCTGCTTCAAATCCAGCGTGAAAAAAAAAAAATATATATATATATATATACCACAGGAATCGATTTGATCATTCAATTTTTCCACGGAACTCATACCGCGAAGAGACACCGGATATTGCACACTTAGGCGGAAACAGGCCCTTTTATCGAAACCAGAAACAAGGCCTTTTTGTCGGCATCCAAAAGTGAGAAGAGAAAGAAAAGAAAAAAAAAAGGCAGGAAGAAGAGAGTCAATTACGCGCGTCTGTTGCTGATAACGCGGTGCTGGAGAAAAACTCGCGGCCTTTCGAACTTATTGTCAAGATTAGGCTTTCTTTCCTCTCTTTTCTCTTCGTGGGTCACAAATATTTGCTTGAGGGGGGTGGGGGGAGAAACTCTTGAACGAGGTCTCATATTTTCTCGAAATGCCGCCTTTTCAAAGGACGCCGCGTGATACCAAATGGAACGTGCTTTCGAGTGCGACTCCAACGTTTTATTAGAATTATGTGGGCAACCAATTGCTGCTTTTATCTCTATACGTTCACCGCAGCGATTTTTATCTTTGTTCACTTTTAAACGCTGCAAAAATCTCATTTGAAAAATCTAGAAACACATTTTTAAAAATACTGTAACACAATTTCTACGCTATTTTCGGCGCGTGGTTTCGTGAATAATGCGCATTCACCGAAAAATAATTAGCTAATGAGAGTATTTTTTTTATTCGGGGGTGTCTGAAAAATCGCGGACGATAATCATTTCGAGAAAATACACGAATATTCGCGATTTTAGACCAGTGCTCTGAGATGTCGGCATTTTCATACGAATTTCAAAGCCGACCACGGTTGAAAAACAATTTCTGCCAATTCGCTGATTTTAGTAGAATAAATTTGAGAAATTGCATCGTTTTTAGGCCGCGTTTCGCAACGCATCGACTTTTCACACTTTTTGAAAAACGTCGTTAATTTGTTTATACAGTAACTTCATATTTTTTATTATTATCATCTTCAAATCGAAGGTGCGTTTGATATAAATTGATGTAGTTTGACAAGGGTTGATTCGAGTTTCAGCTTTAAAAAAAAATAGCTCAGCTTAAACAAAAAAAATGAAAAGTAGTTCACAGTCAAGCAAAGAAAGTCTAGCGTTTGGCCACTTTTTATAGCAGAAAAAACATTACTGCACATTAAAATTATTTCCTTTTATAGGTAAACCCTCGTCCTACTGCTTTTTTTTAGAATGATGGGATAGTGTTATAATAGGAAGAATACTTCGTAGAATATTTAATTTCTTTCAATACATTTTAACTAAATCGATTGTCGAAACTTGAAGTTACAAAACAGTCGGAAATTCTGCAATTCAGGAACCAGTTGATTTTTTTGAAGAGAAAAAGAATCGTGGCTCAATTCAGAGTTTTGCGATGCGCGTTGCAAGATCCTTCCCATAAAAAATAACTACTTTATTCGTAAAATATGCAAAAAGGAATGAGAATTTCTTACAGAAAGAACCATGATGTGATGAACAAAAAACTTCATTTTATGGTTGCCAGAATAATGCCCGCAAGCATTAATGTTGAGTCAGTGGGAAATTCCCACAAATTAGGCAGCTGTATGATTTCTTTGGACAATAATTCAGACAAAGCCTTCTCCAACCATTAGTCAGATTGTAGAATATTTCCTTCATTTTCATGAGTTATTCAGGAATATTTGGAAAGACTGCTACAATGGCCATTTAAACAATTGAAGTTTTTCCAGAAAAAGTACAGTAAATGCATCAAAAGCATCAATAAAAGTGGATTGGACTGTTTGCCTTTGAAGTTAATCAAAATCATTGACAAATCTAAATGACAGAATGCTATTCAACTATGATCTGTAGTAACATAACTATGCAAGTACAGGTAGTACCTTCAAAATTTGGCCCTAATCCATTGCCAAAAGAAGGTCAAATTGCAAAGAAGTTAAATTGCAAGACACTTTGTGAAATTCAAAAATAGCAGTACAAACATGCAACAAAAAAACTGGCCAAAGCAAGTCAAATTGCATGACAAGGTTCCAATTGCAAGTCAACCTCACAGCAAATTTGACCATCAGCAAATTGCAGGAGTTTGAATTGCAAGGTACCACCTGTATACTGTAGAATATTCCTTTCATCTTTTATTGCATTACATTTTGAAGATAAACTGACATAAAACTACAGAAGTATAGCTCAAACGAATAATTTGCTTCACATGCGCAAATTCTATAAAATTATATTTTTGATCATTGAAAATCTGGAAGATTGCCGATGATTAGTCAAGGTTTATACTGTTCAGTATTCATCTATAGCTTGTTGTGGTGAAATGTGTAAGCTGTAATAGTGCTCAACCAGATTTTCAGTGTTTCAAATAAAATCCCAAATGATCAGATCTCTTCTTTTTCTCAAATCGATTTGAATTCTAAATAAAAATTCGCATAGAAAATTAATTTCAAAACATTGAGAAACATAATTTCAGTAAATAATATTGATGACGACAGTGGCTGGAAAATGTGTTGATATTTCATATTCAAAAATGAATAGTTTCATGTTTGATCACATGGCAGGAAACGCCATTTTTTGTTCTACATACATGATATTAGTGGACTGTATTCAAAGAAAGTCAACTCGCCAATAATAAAGATTATGTACAAACTAGAATTTAGAGTTTATACAGGAACCTGTGGTTTACAGAAAATTAATCAAAATCATCAACTATGTTTTGCAAAATACAGTTGAACCTCTGTAAGTCAAATTTGTAGGGACCAGGAAAAAATTCTACTTAAGTAGGTTTGGACTTATAAGAAGGTTTTGAGTCAGGGAAACACTCATTTTTGCTGCAAGGATGAGTAAAAAATTGTAGGAAATTGTAAATGATGATATATTGAGCCTAAACTTGCTTCTTAATGAGTTTACAGCTTGCTGAACTTGGATGCACAGGTTCATTTGCATAATCAGTCTTTCACATTTATTCAAGATGCATAAAATCATTTGTTTCACTGATTTTCATTTTCACATTGAAATAATAACCAAAAGGCCTCACAGAGGTTTTGGAGAAAAAGACTTTGAGTTAGAGAGCTTTTTAATCCATTGTTTCTAAGGGAATTTAGACAGGGACTTGACAAAATATTCAAGTTAGGGAGGTATTCAACTGTTAAAAAAATGTAATGATCTGCAGATGTGTGTTTGTCTAACAAGAGGGCAAATGATGGTACTCAAGTAAATGCGCCATCAAACGCACGGTATAAACTTTTTAAATTTCAACTTGCTCCATATACAAGAGTGGAAATGAACTAACTTGGAACACTTGCGACTTTTCGTCGTTTATTTCACAAGACAAGTAAGATTCATTCATTCATACCAGAGATTCCTTATCATTGTATGGAGAAGGAGGGCAACTAACTGATTTCGACTAGCTGGAGACTTTCGCAGTGTGGTGAAATATCGTAATCAAAAGAAAGGTCACCTAGATTTTCAGGCGACGATGCCAGGAACGACTCCTCAGTGCCAGACTTGGGCGACGCCGCACCGATTGGGCGGAACCCGACAGCCGCCGGCACACCTCCTCCTCCTCCTCCTCCTCCAACAGTGGCCCCGCCCACTACACCGGCACCACCACCACCTCCTCCGGGTGGCCCCAAGTGTCCAAACAGCGGATAACCCACACCGTCAAATCCGCCAAAAATCGGGGCTTGCAAACCCCGCGCCGCTGCGAACACGTAGCTGTTGTACAAAAACGGCAGAGCTGCTGCAGCTGCTGCCGCCGTTGTCGGGTACGAAGAGTACGTCAGAAGGGTCTGCGGGGTGTTGAAGGCCATGGCGGCGGCTGCGGCAGCGGCGGCGGTGACCCCCGGTGGCGTCGACGCCGACGACGCCATCAGGGAGTCGATGGAGAAGGACGACGACAGCACGGGTGGCGGCTGTTGATTGTGATGATGATGATGATGAGGGTTGTGTTGTTGGTCCGAACGCGGCGGCGAGTCCGCGCCTCCGTGGCTCATGGTCATCACTCGGGCATCGGGTTGAAGGGATGGCAACACTGACGCCTTTTCTCTCCTTTCTTATGAATATATATATATAAATCCCTTCAAACCACGCCTATTACTTCCGAAGTGAAGAGAGTTCTTTCTTCTCGGCGAAATTTGAAACACGGATCTTCGCTCTTTTTTTTCACTTCTTGCACTTTTTTTTCGTGGGCGACGAATCAAAGATCGCTCGCCATTAAAAATGTCGATACTGCACTGAAAAACTAAAAATGAGTTGAAATAGGCGCGAACTACTTCAGCTAGAATTCCTGAAAAGACGCAGGCGTTTTCGTTTAGATTTTATAAGCAAGCAGTGATCATGTTAACAAAAAAAATTGAATCGAGAAAATTAAACAGGAAATAAAATCACAGCAAAAAAGGCAGTACAATAATCATCTGAAGAATGTTCGGCTTAATACAATATTTACTCAAGTATCATGTGCTGTTGCATAAGATGTAAACCATTCATTAGAGAGCCGCAAAATTACTGTAGATAAAATCTTGCGGGTGCATAAGATGTACATGTTCATTTTTGAGTCGGAAAAATCAATCCCTGCTCGAGATGCACACCCCACTTTTCATTCTCAAATGTTTACAATTGAAAGAATTGCAACTGCTGGAATTATCAATTTATGCTCAAAGAAGAGATAAATTCAGTTGCACATTGCATGTGTTTCTTGTTAATATTTTCATTAAAATCTGGTTCAAGCGACAAAAAATTCGGTGAATTTGCAAGGAAAATGTTATACTCGAGTATGACATTAACCCCACTTGACCATTTTGGGAGTACTGTATTTGAATGAATACGGTATACCACAAAGCTCATTCATTCCAACATAAACTAAAATGTGCAAGAGCTTGTTATTTCAATAATGCATACCCACAAATAAAGCAATTTCCATCCCATTTTTTGCCAATATTAAAAAAAAAGAAGTAAAGGCACTTTCTCAATCATCAAAATTTAGAACACAGAACGATGAAAACTGGAATTTCCAGCTGAAGGTTTTTCCAGATTTTCTCCCGAAATACGACGAAAAACCAGCAACAATGAAAAATGTGTGTCTGAATTCGGAACTGAATTCCTTCACCGACTTATACAGCAACATACCATATTATTGGATGATTCAGAATAAGTCCTAAATAAATGTTACTGGTGGTTCTCCACGAAATTTCCTGAGGCACACAAAACAATCAGCACCTGTACCAAAGCTCGAGAACAAATTTATTACAGTATTTCGACTATACAAATGACGTAAAAATGTTCGAAACGCCTTTTTTGCGAATGGGGTTCACGCACGATATAAAAAAAAACCACTCGATCCACATTGGCCGCAATAATACTCGGTGATTCAAACTAGAATACTGTACGTACAGTACCTCCTCAAGCAGTTCATGTACAAATTCATGAACCCAACACCAGCGTGAAACCGATCACTGGCGGGCGAAGCCCGAGAATGAGGCAAAGCGGGCAAGCAGCAACCGGATACTGCGATCCGCAAACCCGACACCGTGTTCCGGAGGAGCGAAGCCCAACCTCCCGAGCCCCAGGATTGGCTACTCTTGGCTCCGCCTCACCCGCTAAGAGACCACCTCCCTCTCGTAGTACGCTATACGTAAATGTACAAGCGATACCCGCCTTATTTTTGTGCCGCGCACGCAGGGGGGAGGCGGGGCGAGAAATTTCTACCGCAGTTCGGACAAGTGTGTTGCACCAGTTCATCCGGCAACACAGGGATGTCTGATGACTATGGTAACGCAGGAAGGCAGAAAGAAGCTGGCTTTCAGAAAACACGCACCGAATCTTGGTACAGTATACTGTACTGTATAAGAACATCTCGATACAGTTGGGCCTTGCTATCTCAACTCAAACCTTGCGAAAATCGGAAGTCAAAAATTTTCCTACGCGTCAAATTGATGTCTATTCCCACCCAGGCTGAATTGAACTCCAAATTTCAAAAAAGCAACCAACACAAACATTTTAAAGAACAGCAAGGAAGTGTAATCACCTTTTGTTTAGCATTTTTCAACTCTTATTAAATCAAAAAATTTAGATTTGTATTAGCATTGAATATATTGATCACAAAAACCTACGATTTGAGCCTTATGCAGGGCTCTCATTTTTTTAACACGTTTTTATTAACTTGCTTTCTTGTCCGTTTGTTTGTCCAGATCAAATTTTGCAACTCAAA